ACACCCTACATTCTTTCGGTAAGCCTCACCAGCGCTGTACGGCAAAGTTTGCCACCGGACATAGCTCAAATGAAAGGTAATAACTTGAGGGAGGCCACAGTGAATGGAATTTTTGGGAGTTAGGCCCATTCGGAAATTGATGGGGTTCAAAGTTGCTGTTAAGGAAATAAATAGGAATACTACCTACATTCTTTCGGTAAGCCTCGCCAGCGCTGTACGGTAAAGTTTGCCACCGGACATAGCTCAAATGAAAGGTAATAACTTTGGAAAGGCCACAGTGAAGGGAATTGTTAGGGTTCAAATTTTTTGTTAAGGAAAAAAATATGAATACACCCTACATTCTTTCGGTGAGCCTCGCCAGCGCTTTTCGGCAAAATTCGCCATCAAACATGAAAGGTAATAACTTGGGGGAGACCTCCATGAAAGGATTTTTTGGGAGTTAGGCCCATTCGGAAATTGTTGGGGTTCAACGTTGCTGCTAAGGAAAAAAATATGAATACACCCTACATTCTTTCGGTAAGCCTCGCCCGCGCTGTACTGTAAAGTTCGCCACCGTACATAGCTCAAATGAAAGGTAATAACGTGGGGGGGCCACATTGAAAGGAATGTTTGGGAGTTAGGCCCATTCGGAAATTGTTGGGGTTCAACGTTGCTGCTAAGGAAAAAAATATGAATACACCTTAGATTCTTTCGGTAAGCCTCGCCCTCGCTGTACTGTAAAGTTCGCCACTGTACATGGCTCAAATGAAAGGTAATAAAGTGGGGGAGGCCACAGTGAAAGGAATGTTTGGGAGTTAGGCCCATTCGGAAATTGTTGGGTTTCAAAGATGGTAAGTTCTCACTATACATTTTTTGGGAGAGGAGGGGCTTTCCATAAATATTTCTATTTATATTTTTCAAATGTTTCGAGCATAAAGGTTATATTTCTATTGTTTTAAGAAATATTTTATGTAAAATACATCTTTAATGTTGTTTTATTGATAAAAACTATATTTTACATAAAGACAATTATGCAACTTACATAAGGGTTTATATTCGAGGACAACGAGAATTTACGACATCTTGAAGGGGTCATAAAACGATTTCCTACGTATCTTTTCATTCCTCTTAACTCTCATTTTTTTATGATTTTCAAATAAATTTGAATATTGAACCGACTGCTAACAGCTAGTCGAATAGATTGAATATCGAACCGGCCGCTAACTGCACATATATTAGTTATGTAGAAACTAGATATTTCTATACACATTGATACCAATATGCCGGCATTTAGAAATCAAGCTAGTGAGTGCTTTCATTTACTGACGTCATTTGTGTTGGTTTATTTAACGTTCACTTCTACGGCTGAACATCTCTGTGAAATAATACATATCGTATTGGAAGCTAGAATTTCGAAAAAAAAGTGGCTGCTATCATTATTTGTATTTAAAACGGACTGAAATCCTTTGAGAATCACTACAAGCCGTGAAATTGTCGAATTCCGCTCTTAAATTACATTTATCTTAGATTTTGAGATTTTTGGAACGTTCGAGTCTGATATAGTTTTTGGGTTTTTAGACATATCATCAAAATTGGCTGCTGGAAAAAAGTGGCTGCTATCTTGATTGGCTGCTAAAAGTGGTTGCCAGCTTGAGTCTAGTCTAAATAAATGATTGTTTGAAATTAGTAAACAAATCAACTGGGTTTTATTTATTTGCAACTTATTGTATTTTCTTACTATTTTTCCTCCTTTTACTCTTACATTAACATATTTAAATTTCTCCAACATTTTAGAAGATAATTCAGATACATCAATTTCTTCATATGAATATGTCAGGTTATGTACACTGCATGTACATGTACAACACTGTTTTTTTTTCAAGCATGGCAAAACGTGATATGTGTCCCCTGTTTTATACAAAGTGATATCAATTATCTACTTGCATAGTCCTCATTTTGTTATTCTTTTTCTAATAAAACATGTTTTTTGAAACCTAGCATGCTGTGAATGCAGCTTTGATTTTGACATTGTTCTTACAAACAGCAAGTTTGTTTATCGTTTTGTCAAACGGTCTTTCGAAAGAAAAAAAAAGCTTGCGATTTTGAAACGAATGTTGATAAATCTTTATTTCTGGAAAGTTTTTTTTTTTAATTCTGTGTAAATATCTGTTTCATTTTTTTTCTAAAAGAGAGGCGAAAGATAACAAAGGGATATTCAAACTCAAAAGTCGAAAACAAACCGACAATGCCATGCCAAATAAAAATGAAACATGACGAAAGAGCAAACAAAAGTTCACAAAACACAATTAAGAAAACTAAAAACTGAGCAAACGAACCCAACCAAAAATCGGAGGTGATCTAAGGTGCTCCAGAAGGGTAAGCAAATCCTGCGCCACATGTGGTTCCCGTCGTTTTGCTCATGTTAGTGCTAAGTCTGATTCGGAAGGTCACATTTGAGGCAAAGAGGACGGGATTGCAGTTACAACAATTGGAACATATCTGTCATCATCTGTGAAAGAGAATGCTGATATTCAATAACGGTCAACCAAGACTCTTGATGGCGTCCGTAAACTTTTCGAAGGAATGATTTCAACTTAACCACTTGGAACTCTTGGTTCAATTGATTCCTTGTGAGCAGATATCCTCTATCAAGAAAATCAAGATAGGAAATGCAAGCTTTCTAAATTGTATAAACTTGGAGGTATATAATTCATATGCAGGTGCTGCTGGATTGATGCTACATATACATGGGAAGTGGACAATTGTAAAGCTAATATCATCACTTTTGTTCTCAACCGACCCTCAACGTCAATTTATAGATGTACTTATAAAGATATGAAGATGTGGTATGATTGCCAATGAGACCGCTCTCCATAAGAGAATAAATGACCCAAAAATTAACAACTATAGGTCACCGTACGACCTTCGTCAAGATATGAGGCAGACTTAAGTATATCTATTGTATCTTTTATTTCGATTTCGATGTGACAGATGCGTTCAACATAGTCACTAAACTTTGAATTACTTAATAAGAGGACATCATTTTTATAGCGAAACGTGAAGTTAAAGGATAATGCTAGGTTCTTTTCATTCTTCCTTTGAAGCTCATGTATGAAGTCAGCCTCATATGAATAAAATAACAAGACGGCAATCATAGGAGCACAATTAGTTCCCATGGGATGCCGATTGTTTGTTGAAAAACACTCTCCAAACGTCACAAACATGTTGTCCTTCAAGAAATCAAGCTTCTTGATAATGTGATCAATTTCAGAGAATTTATTGTGAATCATGTGACTTGCCGATATGTTTGGCCCTTGTTTCCTGTCGGGCTCGAACAATCGGGGTTTTGCCAATATTCCCAGTTATTGTCCCGTAACCAATTATATCAATTTTGTTCATCCAATTTTGTCAATATAACGCAACTACAAACAACCGTCATACAAGGGGAGGGTTTGTCTCAAACGGGGTTTTCTTCGGAAAATGCCTGTACCAAGTCAGGAATTTGACACTTGTTTTTCTTTAGTTTCTTTTGTTAGTCGAGCGTTTCATTTTTATCAGGTTTTATGGACTGTCCTCTTTTTTGAACTTACCTTGGCGTTCGGTATTTTTGTTCATATTTTTTTATTCATACACTGTTCGTTTATTTTCGAAAGATACAGCATCATATCGAGTCTTTCTTTTAAAAAATGCCCAACATGAGTTATCAGAGGTCAGGATTTTGGTACGGATTCTTTTCCCGCCATTTATACGGCGAATAGGTTATTATAATTTTCGATCAATGCTCTTTCGGCATTTTTTCCCGGAAACATATCGAAGCCAAAATGGTATTCATTCCATTCAAGTTATCTGCATTTCGCTTCATTTTGGATTTTTGCACAGCTACTTTGATATCTTCTAATACAGCTTTAGCTACTTAGATATAATAATTTTCCAAAGAGGTTGTGACAATATTGTAGTCTTGGAGTTTTTCAACGGCTGGAGAGCATGTTCGAATAGGATAGTTTGTTAATGTAGCCCCTCTTTTCATGGGGGTTGCATTTGAATTTCTGTATCACCCTGTATTTTGTAAGAATTTTTTTCCGTTGCCGAAAGTATTTTTTTTGTTCGTACATGTTTTTATGATTGTCCATATTTTCTCTTCCTGTCGGTTTCTTTATTTTTAAAATCGGTCTAGCTCAGTCTGTCGTCCGCTTCTTTTTTTTCTGATACTTTCTCTATTTGTTTGCTTCTTCTATGTGTTTAACATGCTCGTCTTTTATTTCTTCATCACGATTTGTGTAGTATTATTTGCTTTTTGTTCTCTTCTTTTCTTTATTTTTTCCTCCTCATAACGTTTAAGGCGTTATTTTGGAATCATTGTTTTAATTTTGTGAAATTAGGAGGTTTTTTGTTATTATACTGTTGCATTCACGCTTCTCGAAGTTTAAAACGTTAAAAAAATAGGTAGTGGACATTGAATTGGACATAATTGTTGATTGATATTTTTGTTATTCTGTAGTGAACTATATTTTTATTCTGAGGTGAACTACTATCAACATATATATGTAACAATTTCATAGTGAGCAAATGTACAGTAAATATACATTTTTGGGATAAAAAAAATATCATACTTTTGATAATTTTCTATATAGCACTTTTGTATAACATGTCACAACGTTAAACGTCAGACCATTAATTGATTCGGCACATACCTAATTTCTTATTATTTTATTCCAATTTTTTCGCCTACAACCGCTTTTGAAGGGTAAAAATATATAGGTGTTTTGACGTTCATCGACGGGAGTTATGGAATAATTTTGCGAAAAAAAGAATCCACTACACTCGGTTTTTTGTCGAACAGCATCATGCAAAATGTAACGCGGGACAAGACACAAATAACCTGTCATCGCACTGCATAATGATTGAAATATCTAATATCAATGTTTTCTTTCTATATTAATGAATCACTGATATTTGAAAAGGTAGTAAAGACGGGTATATCCATGTCTGAGTCTCTTATGCTGGCATCTGAAAAGAATGAAATGCGGGATGGAACTAATATCTACCATGTAAAACCAAGTAACATACACAACATAGCCATGCATATAAGATGCTGCAATGTGCGTAAGTTTTTTTATTTTCATATTGAGTTGATCAAATGTAAATAAGTCATGATCTATCTTTGACGAGAAAAAAACAAATCTTGATTTACAGTTAATCTTCATTTGGCAACCAGCAATATAAAAACAAAGTAAAAATTAGTTACTGACAAAAATAAAACCAAATAGTCACACCAAAATTTTTAACAATCACAAAACGAAATCGCCCAGCAATTCAGCCATTTGAATTTAAACTTTCTGTCTTATCTTGAATCTTAAAATGGATCAAAATTATGTTCTTTTCAAGGAAATGAAACTGAGACATATTTTCAACAAAACAACAGATGATGCAAAGACTAAAATCTAGACTAAATGCAAGTAATCAAAGTCGGATAGTGTCGTTCATCTAAATGAGTACTAAATGCTCTGGATTTTCTTTCCAAATTCGCAGAAGTCAGCACTCATGTGTTGCCATGACACTTATTGTTTGGCTTTTTTTTTTAAATAAACCGTTGAATGTTGAATTATCCAAAACATTATCCATCCCAGGCAATGGTGACTTTACCCAGACTTGGTCAAAGTCAGGTGCTGTAATTCAGTGATTGTCGTTGGTTCATATCTGTCATATTTGTTTTTCGTAATTTTCATTATCATAAATAAATTCGTTGTTTTTTTTTTTTTCTCTTGAATTGCTTTACATTTTTCAAGTCGGACATTCGATAGCTGACGTTATGGCTTTTTCGCAATTGTTAAGGCCGTACGGTGACCTAAAATCTTTTTGGCTTACTACAGTTTTGATTCAGGCTGAACTCAAGAAATACCTTTTAACATTAATTGGAAATATTGGATATAGATATGGTTAATCAGTTAATAATAATAGTAAACTGACACAAGACAAAAAGTAAAAGTATATTATTTGAAGTGTGATATCATAGAATCGTTTAATCCATGTGTATTTCTAGCAGATGAATCAAAGTACAGAAATAGAAAAATCGTTCAAATATCTTCTCTTGGTACTTGCGTTATGTTCTTGTATTAAGACTGTTACAATAGAGGTTTCCTCACGCAATTATCTGCTTAAAAAATACAAAAAAAACATATTTATAGAATTATTCATTAAATATGGAGTAAACTATTCTTTCTCTACAAACAGTTTTTTTTTCTCTGACATAATGCATCACAGACCATTTCGGCAGTTGTATTCGTTAACATTCATTTTATATCAACTCGCTCTGCATACTTCTGGTTAATTAAGAAATGACTGTAATATATTTTCTGTCTATGAAGAAATAACATCAAAAATGTGGTGCACACACAGCGCGTAGCGGGTTATTTTAAAGAGTGCACCACATTTTTTATGTTTTTTCGAATAGACAGAAAAAATATTACAGTAATTTCTTATAATTTAATTCTTAATTCCATTTTAAACCGGAGTAAACCATGAAAAAACGTTGATGACGTCACGGTCACATGACAAAATTATGTCTATGAGCTGATAAACAAAACAACGTCAGCCAATCAGAAGACGCGTTACATCCAAAATTAAATTATTAAGTCTTGATGAGTAAGTATGACTTTGATTGCTAGAGTTTTTCATACATTAGTTGACTATTTCAAATAGAAACAAAAACATACCGTGTTTTTTTTTCATTAACGGTAAATTGGAGTCTGAATTAAAGAAGATAGAATATTTTAATACTTAGCAAAAATACAGTTGATATCATGCTTATATTTTGTTCATAAAATAGAATTCTTTGCCTCTAGGAAGAGTTATGGTGCTACATCCTGGCAGTCGATGTACTCAAGTTATGGCATTTGAAAGGTCACGCTTTTCGCAGACTGTTTATAACATCTTTTAAACTAAATACATTGAATGTATATTTATTGAAACTTTAGAGCGGGTGAACATGATTTATTTAGAGTTTGTTATTGTCGTTTCACTAACTTTTAGTAGCTGCGAGTACTCTTAGATCCGTACTTTGAGTTTTTTGTCTTCATGTTAGTGTGGTTTTTGTTTTTTGTGCTTCGTGTCGATCTTATGAGTCAAGCCATTTCATTCTTTACAGGTAGTGCTTATGTTATACTAGTACACTATTGTGTGGGGGAGGTTTGAGTGCACCTAAACATGTCTAACCCTGACAAATTCTGTATGTACCTGTCACAAGTCGGGAGCCTATAATGCAGTGGTTGTCTTAGTTGCTGCCTGTTATATCTGTTTTTTCAATTATTGTTAAGGGCATACAATACAGTTTTGATCCCATAATGAAATTTTGATGAAAATTTGCATATAGGCTATTTTTTACCCGATTAAATCAAATATGTAATAAAAAGTATACCACCATGTGCTACTTTTTGAGTAAATTGAGGTTGAAATTTCAGATATTTCCTGAAAATTCGGATTTGTGGACGTATTTTTCCTTTCGACAGAAATACATAATTTTTTTGTTTTAAAAGATAAACACAAGCTGTTTTTTGTTAAATTATTTGTAATTTCTGTTTTATATAAATGTTCTATAAATTTGTTCATTTTATTTTTACAAATAACTCATATTTATCAAATGTTCATAAATGTAGAAAAAAACGTCATTTTTTGCTGTATATTTATCAAATTAAAAATAATTGCACTATTGACTTTTTCATGAAAATTGGTACACATAATCTTCCTACGTAATCAAACCAAATGTCATTTTAAAAAAGAGGGGTCCATGAACTCGTTTTCAAGTTAAATCAGTTTGAATGATAAAAATCAGTCGAAAACTGCATCTTTTCCCGATAAGTCACAGTTCGACGTCGCGAAAATAACAATTTACGTTAGCAATGTCATTACCTCCCCTGTAACTGTATCGTATGCCCTTAAAGCATAATTCAGATCGTTGTTTTCTTTTTCAATCGTTTCACTTTTTGACATTCGGGTCCTTTCATATCTGACTTTATACAATATGGGTTTTACTCATTGTTGAAAGTCGTTCGTTGACCCATTATTGCTTAAATTCATGTCATTTTTTAACTCTGTTGGATAGTTGTTTCATTGGCATTCATACCCCTTCTACTCATTTTATATCATGTACGAAATGTCAGTATCAGCGATCATAATTTGCCTTTTCCGTCTAACAAGTCATGACTAAATGTCGATGCTTCTTGTTTGTTTGAAATGCATATTGCATATTGCAATACTGTCGTAATTGGTTCCAAATGAAAACACATCGCAGGTCTATGAGAAAAGTATAGCATTATTAAATTTTTCATCTTAAAACATATCACTATTCTATAAAGAAAAATTCACACTCATTTAAGAAAATATAGCATTAACAATCTAATACACATGATTATGGCTTAAATTATAATCGAACACGTTGAAAGTACATTTAACTGTCTTTGCTTCATGATTGTCTTCCCAGGTATTAGTACACTTCAAAATTGAAGATCGTACAAATTTCCATTAAATTCAATTTACCTATGCTCTCGTATAAATATAAAATACTTTGATTTATATGTACAGTGCATAAGGAAGTTATACAGACGTCTACCGAAAAATCTTCTTTTTATCGTAGAAATGAATTCATATTCGTCTGCGATTTCCAACAATGCATCTCGTTTATAAATATTATTTAGAAACGTTTTTTCGATTCATACTGGACTCTTTTTAATAAAAATGAATAAGAATCATATTGTAAAAATGCACCGCATATACAATAGAAATGAATCGCTCTTTCAGTGAAAATGGAAGTATTGTATCATTATTCGACAGTTAACATGTCTATTGAATAGCATGACGAAAGAAGCAAATTGTCATCAGTTGTAGAAAATTTAGCTAACTAAACCCCAAAATAGCATCAAAAGCAGGAACCTCAACCCGCCTTGGAACATAAGTATGTTTATTGACTGACTGCTTATTAGATTAAGACTTGTGATCGTTTTGTATCGCTAGTTGTATTTCGTGTTGTGTTGTCTGTTTTGATTTTACTAACAACGTTGAAAAGGCAAACGTATTGTTATTTAGTTCCAGGTTATGGTGATGACAAACATCAAGAGAAAACCATCATACTTATAGGACTGATGGGTACTGGAAAAAGCACTCTGATAGATGCAATGATCAATTATATAGCTGGAGTTTCATTTTTTGATGATTATCGCTTCAAACTTGTCCATTTAACGGAAGAGGAGAAGACCAAACACGAAAGATGGGTAACTATGGAACACCAAGACTGTCTTATTATGCCCATTTTCATTATATGATGCGCATTTACCCTTATATGATGTGCACTTGTCATTATATGATGTGCAAACATACTTATATGATGTGCAAATATACTTATATGATGTGGAAACATACTTACAATGTATATGATGTGCAAATATACTTATATGATGTGCAAACATCCTTATATGATGTGCAAATATACTTATATGATGTGCAAACATACTTATATGATGTGCAAATATACTGACTGTGCGGAATGGGCTTTGCTCATTGTTGAAGGCCGTATGGTGACCTATAGTTGTTAATTTCTGTGTCATTTGGTCTCTTGTGGAGAGTTGTCTCATTGGCAATCATACCACTTCTTCTTTTTAATATTATTTGATGTGCAAATATCCTTATATGATGTGCATTTTACCTTATATTATGTGCAAACATCTTTATATGATGTGGTTGTGTCATTATATTATGTGCTTGTAACATTATATTATGTGGTTCGGTTTACTTCATTATATGATGTCAAAACGTCCTTATATGATGTGCTTTCATCGTTGTTATGGTCAATGAACATGATTACGATTAGAACGATCACTGTCTACGTCATAACTGATTCCGATCTGCTTCTCCGGAATTACTATAAACCCGGTTCAAATCTGTAGCTATCGTTTTGAAAATGGTTAAGATTTTAAAAGAGATAAACCTTTGCACGTTGGTACCTCGTTTTAAAGATGAAAAAATCACATCTGATATTGTTGGAAAATTGTCAAAATATGAATTGCCAAGTTTGGGTTTAACCGATGGGTCTACAATAATGAACATATTGTTAAAGTCATTAAACTATGGGTCCTCGACTGTGTACTGAGCACCTGGAGTTCAGATATTTGATAAACCAGGGGATATTCTGCATTTTTATTTAATGCCAGTTTACTGTTTCTGATTTAGCAGCTCCAGCCTCGTATCAGATTAAAAAATGAGACAGTGCAATTTAACAAGTAATCAACGTTTCAAACATTTCGGAGGAAGATTTAAATCTGTTAATGCAGGAGCTACAATGTACTAGTAATTGAAGGATTTCCTTGCTGCGGCGAAAATATGATAAATATGTTTTATTGCAAAAGACACCAATTCAATCACCGTTATGGATGATTGATTGATTGATTGATTAATTGGTTGATTGATTGGTGTTTAACGCCACTTTAAAGACAATTGTGCTATTTCGTGGCGGTCAGCTTATATTGATGGAGGAAGCCGTAGTGCCCGGAGAGAACCACCGAACTTCGGTAGGAAAACTGACAATTCTAGTCAATTAAGATTGGAGTCGAGGCTCTTACCTGCCACGTGCGGGATTCGAACTCAAAACCTAAGTGTTGATAGGCTAGTGATACAGTAGTTAGACTACTTAGACCACTTGACAACCGAGGACCCACGGCATGGGTAAAAGGAGATATGGGATGAACTTTAACTCAGTGCATTACATTTGCGCGCAGCTTTTTGTTATGTTTTCGTGCATGTATTTTACAGCTTCAACTAGACAGTAATCCGCAATATAAATTGTTTCGATGGGAGCCGCTCATATATACACCCCCAGACTCAAAGAATCGAACTACCAACAGGGCTAAGGTACCGACCATTCATCTTTTTTTTTGTGGGGGGGGGGGGGGCATGTTTGTTTTTAAATGTTTCATTCCAAATTTCTTGAAAAAGACATTATTTATTTCAGAAGGGAAGCGAAAAAAATAATTTGTTTCCATCGGAAACGAGGAAAAAAATAAAACAATAATAAAGTTAAAAAAATGATTATGTTTTGGAAAAAAAGTTTATTTTTTATTAAAGTCAAAAAATGTGTTTGTCCTGAGCCCAAGAAAATACACATGCTCCCGCCCACAAAAGATGTCGGTGCTAAATCAATCTGATTAAAATACAGATCCTGTGTCTAAGCTTTGGTTACAAGGATCTGACACCATTCATTTTACTTTCTGTTCTGGTAATTATTACATCAGCCAATGAAATTTCAGCCTTTAAATTTTTGAAGGAGTGTATCAATCCGACAAAACCAGAGAATCACAAATGGTCTTTAAAACAGAAAATAGAATTGAGCTTTTTCGGATCCTTGTAAGCAAAGCTTGGACGATTGGTGTCTAAATGAACATAAGAAAAAAAAATCATTGTTTTCTGAGGCCTGTTGGTCTCATAGATAGAGAGTTGTGTTTTTTCTTAAGTGAAGCGCTGCACAAGTAAAATCAAGCCAGATTTTAATTCAAGCGCTGTAGATATAATGTCCAGCGCAGTAGATATAAATTTCCTTTACATCTCCAGCGCAGGACTTTACATCTCAAGACCAAAAGGGCTCCGTAATCAATAAAGCTTGAGGATGAAGGATGTTAAGAATATCTTTTTTTAAATAAAGTCCAGTTTTCCAACAATAACTGTTATTAGCTCACCTGGCCCAAAGGGCCAAGTGAGCTTTTCACATCACTCGGCGTCCGGTGCCCGGCGTCCGTCGTCGTCGTCCGTCGTCCGTCGTAGTCGTCGTCGTCGTCGTCCGTCGTCCGTCGTAGTCGTCGTCGTCGTCCGTTAACTTTTACAAAAATGGAAAACTACGGGACCAAATTTAACTAAACTTGGCCACAATCATCGTTGGGGTATCTTGTTCAGAAATGTGTCCGATGACCCCGCCTGCCAACCAAGATGGCCGACATGACTAAAAATAGACCATAGGGGTAAAATGCAAGTTTTGTCTATTATTTTAAAAACCGTTACAAATAGAGAATATCTGACAGAGCAAAAATGTTTGGAATGTTGAGCTCTAGCAATTGTTCATTGACGTCAAAGCTGACAGGCGCCTTCTTGTAGGAGTTATTGCCCTTAAATGACAAATTTTACCATTTTTGTTTCATTTTTGCCTATTATCTTGAAAACTATAATAGATAGAAAGAAACTTTAAGTTGCAAAAATGATCAGCTAGACAAGATCTACGAATAAGTTTGGCATGGTTGAAATCGTCAGATGACACCATATTAGAGTTATTGCCCTTTGATGACGATTTTTACCAATTTTTTGTTTTTTGCCTAATATCTTCAAATTTATAATAGATAGATAGAAACTAAAATAAGCAAAAATGATCAGCAAGACAAGATCTACATTTCAGATAATATGGAGGAAATTTCCGAGGACTCCTTATTGGAGTTATTGCCTTTTAATGACGATTTGTACCATTTTTTTTTTTGCATTTTGCCTTATATGGTAAAAATTATAATAGATAAATAGTAGATGAATAGAAACTTTTTAGAAATAACGAAAAATGATCAGAAAGGCAAGATCCACAAACAAGTCAAATTTTGCCGATATAGTTAGAAGACTGTCACTCTTCATAGGAGTGATTGCCCTTTTCTTATTATTATTATTTTAATTCAGTCTATATGTACATAGCACACAAGTTCCGGGAAGTTTTACATTCCTACCTAGGAGTCCACTCCCGTATTCGGAAGAAGAAGAAGCCCTTAAATGAGAATTTTTATAACCCTCTTACCTGTTTTTAGCAAAAACTAAAGAATATAGAGAGAAACTAAACAGACAAAATGATCAGCAATACAAGATCAATAAAAAAGAGATTTTTGTTATGAATTCTATTCTTGTCTAAATTGTTGGAGAGAGTCCATCGAGTGTTGAATATGCACATAGACCTAGGTGAACGACACATGCTCTTTAGAGCCTCTAGTTGTCGTACAGGCCTGTAAGGTCATATGAGCTATTCTCTTCATTAAGCATACGTCGTCCGTAAACTTTCACATTTTCACCTTCTTCTCTGAAACCACTCAGCCAATTTTAATAAATCTTTGTAAGAATAATGTATTGAAAGTCCTATACAAAAAACCTTTATTTAGTTTCGATTGGTAAAAAAATAATACCACCAGAGTCAATCTTTGAATTTGACAGGTCAAATTTTAAAAATCCTCTTGACTGAAACTGCAAAGCTATATGTTTGGAAACTCTAAATGATTAATGATGAATATACCCCTTTCAACGATTACCATTTACTATTGATAGGTTGCCGATACTGGTCACAGTGGCACATAGTTTCTATTAAAAAACAACGGGAAATGTATTATAAACCACTTTTTCATTAAAAAAAAAGCGCAGAATGTCAAGATCTATACCTACATGTACTTTCTATTTCCACCAAATTTATTCCGGCGATGAATCTTTGTAGGAGTAATTGGCTTTAAATAATAATTTTTGGGTAGAAACTGTAAACAGTTGAAATGGTGAGCAATACACGATCTAGAGCAATGTCCAAATAGTTAGACCTACCTTTTTCATATTGATTTTGGATAAAGGCTCGGGTATCTTATTCTAAATTTTAACACACATTTGTTCAAGTAAAAAATAATGTTTTGTGAATAGTTGTCCCTCAAAGCATCTAAAATTGTGAACCCTTGAAATATTTTTTTTTCGATAAAGGTTCTGTTCGGGGAGATTCAGTTAGCGGCGGCGGCTTTTAATATTTTGCGTTCATCTTGAAAACTTCAATAGAAAAAAATAGGTGCTATGAAAACAGTCTGAATAGGATCTATTGTAAAGGGCCCATTTGAGCAATTTAGGCTCTTATGTGTTTTGTTGTTTCATTGCCTATTATCTTGATAACTTATTTATAGAGAAACCTTTCCTTGCAAAATGGTAGGGAAGAACAGATTTACAAATTAATAATCAACCATGACTGATTTTTTCTTTCATGGGAGGAAAAATGGGAATTTCTCAAATTTTTTTTCAAGTCCCCACCTTGAAGAAGGAAAATAAACTCAAGACCCCCTTTCCATAGACATGAACATTTAACCCCCCATACACACAAACATTTATAATAACAAAAGAATGCATTAAATTTATATGCTTTTATAAGTATAAAATATTGCGTCAGTAGTGGATTTAGAACAAGTGTGGAAGTTGTTTGCGACTTCAGTGAACTTAATTTGGATATGCCGGTTATGGTCTCATTGATATTTACCACACCTTCGTTCAATTTTAGCTTCAGATGAAAAATACTCTGCTGGAAGAATATGTTGAAACTTAGGATTTAGTTCTGAGCAATTGAGGCGAGCGGAGCGAGGCGAAAAAAAATTGATGTTTTTCAAGTCAAAACTGGTTTTTTTTTTACTGTAGGGGGAGTGTAGGGTGTGGTTCGAATCCTGAACAGTTGGGGAAAGTATGGACACACCATTCAAGCTTGATACAGCTCTGAATTTAGATTATGATTAAATATTTGACACAGCATGGGTTTCTGACATAGAATGAATGTGGCCTAAGATCTTAAAAAATTGAAATTGGACATTTACTTTTTATATGGTCCAATATCCAAAATCCAAAAATATGGTTAGATTCAGCATATCAAAGAACCCCAAGAATTCAATTTTTGTTGAAATCAAACAAAGTTTAATTTGGACCCTTTGGACCTTAATGTGGACAAATTTGAAAACAAGGCCCCAAATAAAAAATCTAAGTACACGGCTAGATTCGGCATATCAGTGAACCACAATAATTGAATTTTTGATGAAAATCAAACAAAGACTAATTTTAGACCCTTTGGACCTCAATTTCGGACCAATTTAAAAACGGGGCCCAAAATCAAAAATCTTAGTATACGGTTAGCTTCAGCATATTAAAGAACCCCAAGAATTCAAGATTTTGAATTAAACTCCATTCAAATTGGTCAAGAAATGAGCAATTTATATACTAGTAGTATTAGAAAAGTATTGTTTTTGGCCCCTAATTCCTTAACGGTTAAGGCCATAACCTCCAAAATTAATTCCAACCATCCTTTTTTGGCATGGAACCTTGTGGTACAATTTCATAAAGATTCATGCACTTATACACAAGTGATTTTCCTGAAACAAGAAAAATGCTTGTTTTTGGCCCCTAATTCCTAAATAGTTAAGACAATCACCACCAAAATCAACCCCAAACTTCTTTTTGTAGTATGGAACAATTTGATAGAGATCCATTCACTTATAATCAAGTTATTGTCTGGAAATCAAACGTCTTCGGACGATGACGACATCGCCATACCATTATACGGCTGCAAATTTATAAATAAAAAATTGAATACCACCTTTCCATTCCATTTCAATTTCAAGGTCTCCCTTAATTTTTTCCTATCCCCTCTTTTTGGGGTTACAATTGACGGGTCCCTTACAGGAGTCATTACCCTCCCAGTGTCCGATTTTTGCCCATTTTTGCATTTTTTTTTGCTTATATCTTGAGAAAAGTAATACATGAAGCGAAATTTGAACAGCTAAACTGATTAACAAGGAAAAATTTACAAAAAATGAACAAACTTGAAATATCTGTATCAACTTCTCATAGAAGAAACTGCCTCTAAATAGGAAAGATATTTTCAATGGAAACAAACTATTTTATTTGCTTCCCTTCTGAAATAACTAATGTCTTTTTCGAGAAATCTGGAATCAAACATTTTAAAAAACATGCCCCCCCCCAAAAAAAAAAAAGATGATTGGTCGGTAACTTGCCAATGGCAGTGTTTAAAGTTCTTGAGTCTGGAGGTGTATATATGAACGGCTTCCATCGAAACCTTTCCTACTGTCTAGTTGAAGCTGTAAAAAACATGCAAGAAAACATAATAAAGAGCTGTGCGCAAATGTAATGCACCGAGTTGAACTTCATCCCATATCTCCTTTCATCCATACCGGGATCATCGGTGGCTGAGTGGTCTAAGTAGTCTAACTACTGTATCACTAGCCTGTCAACACTGAGGTTGTGAGTTCAAATCCCGCACGTGGCAGGTAAGCTGGACTCCAATCTTAATTGACTAGAATTGTAATCTTTCCTACCGAAGGTCGGTTGTTCTCTCCGGGCAGTACGCCTTCCTCCACCAATATAAAGTGACCGCCTCGAAATAGCACGATAGTGCTGAAAATGTCGTTAAACACCAATTAATCAACCAATTAATCAACCAATCATCCATACCGGTATACTTATGCACGAGTAGAAAACATTATCGCTTTTTTATGAAATACTTTTTAAAATGACTGTGATTTAATTGGTATAGGAAATAAATTAAGGTAAAGCGGTAATTCAAAAAGAGGGAATACATATACCGGTATAGCTGTCTTTTGCAATAAAGTAGTTTTATCATATTTTAGCCGCAGTAGGGAAATTCTTCAACTAGCTCCTGTTTTAATGGATCTAAATCTTCCTCCAAAATGTTTTAAACGTTGATTTTTTTATTATGTGCTTTCATCGTTGTTATGGTCAATGAACATGATTACGATTAGGTGCTCAGTACACAGTCGAGGACCCATAATTTAATAACATTAACCGTATATTGTAGACCCATCGATAAAACCTAAACTTGGCAATTTATATTTGACAATTTTCCAACAATATCAGATATGTTTTTTTCATCTTTCTAACGAGGTTCCAACGTGCCAAGGTTTATCTCTTTTAAAATCTCAACCATTTTCCAAACAATAGCTTCAGATTTGAACCGGGTTTATCATAATTCCGGATAAGCAGATCGGAATCAGTTATGACGTAGACAGTGATCGTTCTAATCGTAATCATGTTCATTGACCATAACAACGATGAAAGCACATCGTATAAGGACGATTTGACATCATATAATGAAGTAAACCGAACCACATAATATAATGTTACAAGCACATAATATAATGACACAACCACATCATATAAAGATGTTTGCACATAATATAAGGTAAATTGCACATCATATAAGGATATTTGCACATCATATAAGTATATTTGCACATCATATAAGGATCTTTGCACATCATATAAGTACATTTGCAAAAAAAAATAAGTATATTTGCACATCATAAAAGGATATTTGCACATCATATAAGTATATTTGCACATCATATAAGTATATATAATATATGTGATGACGCAAATGCGTATTCTTATCCAGAGTATCAGTGCGTATGCTTTCTGTTTACCATTTCTTGCGTAAAAATACCACGTTCATGCATAAATATTAATATTTCACTCGCGAATGCAAATTTTCGCTTTTCTTATCTAAATTCAGGACACGGCAATAAGAGCTTGCCATGTGACTTTCAAGCACGGTCATCATTGCTTACGGTATTCTGACCTGTTTTCTTTTTTGAGTCACTGTCCTTTTATAAACTTTGACATTTTCGAAATACTAAGGATTTTCTACCCAAGGAATATATTACTTAACTTCGTACTTTATTTGGCCTTTTTAACTATTTTTATTCGAGCGTCACTGATGATTCTTTGTAAACTTAACTCGTGTCTGGCGTACAACATGTTAATCCTGGTATTTTTTTTTTATATCTACATGTCTTTTTATATAAATTGGTTCTTTTGAGAGTATATATATGTTCATGTATTCATAAAACTTCTGAAAATAAGATATTCTTCAAAACCAAGTTTCTCTGTAAAATATTAGAATTGATTAAAGTAAAATCAGAAATCCTTAAAATTTGAGATGTTTTATGAGACCAAAATAAGTCTCTATATAAGAAGTCCAAATGAAGCTGGTGTTACTCTCAAGATAAATATACGAAACCTTCTTATAAGTTGCATGCCACAGGGTTTCTCTTCACATGGAAAATGGACTTTAAATTTATCTGTACAACATCTACCATGAGTACAGACAACTTCAGTAACGAGTTGAGAATATGAAGGCATCCATGCAGGAAACAAAATAAAAAGATGTAATAGATAAAATAAATGCATCCAGATTATAAAGCAAACTGAGTGCTTACATTTATATTGCGATTGGTTTGTGCAATTTGCATTATACAGCCGGTTTTTAAAAACTGGGATTTTCAATAGGATTATAAAAAAATGATGTACAATCCCAAGTAATAAATGAAATAGTCGAGCTTTAAAATGGATATTCAAATAGTAGCTGTATATACACTTTTCTATTCACACCTATCCAACATTGCTTTCAACTGACTTGTGCAAGAATGTACACACTATTACATATTTTTAATAAAGGTAGTTTAACTTCATCATTATCTCCTTTTTTTCACAGTCAATTATTTCAATTCAAAAGCAAACAAAAATTCAGCAACAATCTTTTGGTGACCAGTCAGCGGTCTTAGGTTCTCACGTGTTGCTTTTCTTTTTTTAAAGAAAGCAACTTGTTTTAATTTTTAGCATGCATCGATATGTCAAAGTGTAAAACCTTATTTCTGTCTCAATCATATAAAATATTCTTCCTAAAACAAAATTTGATTTTGATATGTTCTCAATCTTTAAGCAACTTAGAGGAGAAACAGGAAATGGTATGGTAAGGCCATTTGTGTGGCCCGTTAAATTTGAAGAAAACAAATATTTATCTACCAAATAACATACATTGGTTTTTTTTATTTATTTTTTTATCTTGAAAAAAATATTGCATTTTTGACACGTAGTCCTGACAAAATTTCGGGCTTGAGTTCGCTAGTGATGTCTCTTGTTGATGGTGTTGCCTGGCGTTATTGTAAGGTCGGGTTGCAATTGACGTTTGTATCATAATATAAGACATTGTCAAGCTACAAAATAAATCTATTATAAAAACGATTTGTCAATGTGAAAAGTTTAATGAGATGAGTTAATGGGCTTAATATATAATTTGTGTGATCTTGCTTAAAACTAAGATACATCTAATGCCTGTTTACAATAGTCCTCAAATGATTTACAAAATTATGTTTGCTTTGTTTTATTTATTTACTTCAGTCTACAAGTCAGACAAATGGTATAACATGTTACCGAATTCCATGGAGAAGTGGTTCCAGAGTTGATTATAAGCTGTGCGTCATTGATACTCCAGGATTCGGCAATTATAGTGTAGAAGACGAGACTATAACTTCTATGCTTAAATGTCTTTTCGAAAAGGGAATCGGAAATATTGATGCTATCTGTTTAGTTGTACCTTTATCATCTCAACCAGATAAGGCTGGAAAATTCTTACTGTTGAATATTTTTAAGCATCTTTTTTCAAAAGATATCTATGACATTATTTACCTCTTCCTGACCTGGGATGACGGTGGTGAAAACAATGTATTCGATGTCTTAAAAAAGTATATACCTATAGAGCAAGATATGTGCTTCAGGTTTAATAACTGTGATGTTTTACGTACCAGTCATTCTAACGAACATTCTATAAAAATATGGAGAACAAGAAACAGAAGCTTCTGTGGATTTTTTAGAAAACTACTGACTACACCAAGCATTTCGTTGTCAAACACAAAAGCAGTTCTTGATTCTAAATCACAAATTGAAAGGGTACTGGAGAAAACGTAACGTATTTACAGATATAATATATATCAAAGATTAAAAAAGATTAACTTGCATACCATAAAAAAAGTCATATAAAACAATACAGTTTTCACAAGATATTGTCAAAAGCATATCACGATTATCTTTGTATTACGAATAAGCCGCAATACAGAGACTCTTATTGTTGAATATACACACGTCTATTTACACAAAGTACTACCCAACTAAACCCAAACAGCCATAAACGATGTAGTATAGTGTCGGACATGTGGAGTTTTCTGTAGTTCCAAATGTTGTATATGTCGGGGACAATGCAGAACTAAAGACCATAAAATGGAAAAGTTATCATATGAAACAAAAACATAAATCAGAATCGCAACAATGGAAGATTTGAAGAAAAGTTACGGTTTTGCCAACCAAGATGCTAAAGATTGGAAAGAAATGCTGAACAAAATAGAGCCAGTTTTAAAAAAAATCTATGGAAGAATTATGTGGCATTCTAAAGCTAGTTTTAGAAAAGATTTACGAAATTCAAAAACGCATCAATCAGACCAAATTTCTAGAGGTCTGAGGATTTCTTTGATGAGGTTAATGCTAGATAAGAAAAGTCACCACTGTTGATGACGAACGCGTAAAAAAATTGAAAAATATAATGAAGTTTGTGTTGTATAACGTATTATTGACTGCTATGTTGAAATCTGTTTGATAAACATTTGCGTGATTTAGAGTAGTATTTGTATATGCTTGATATGTTGCATTGTATCTATCAAAATAATAATTCCACCTTATGTAATAATGCTGTATTTTGATTGGATGAGAGAAATGCTATTTTTCGCCAATTTTCTATATAATGAGATTTTCTTTTCTCTGTCGGTGTATTTGTCATTACCTTATCAACATGATTTAAGAGAGAGAGAGAAATGTATTGCATACGTCCAGTAATCAAACGAAACACATTACCAATACAACGTTTTGCTTGTCATCATCCATGATATACTAACTAATTCAGTTGAAGACTTTTTTCTGCAAATTCTGCTGGTTTCACTAAATTTTCAAATTTCATGACGAGACTTTATGAATTATGTCCGAGTGTTGTTTTTTATTTTGTTTGATTTCATGAGTGGCAGTTATCAACCAGCAGCTGTGGCTACCATAGATAGGTATCCGTAGTAGCGAGCACATTTTGACCCTGCTTTTCAAATAGTCTATTTTATTTCTTTGTTCAAGTTAGTTATTATCCTGCTGTCATATGCACTGAGCAGATTCGTTATTGTGTGTGAAAGTTTTACGACATAAGGGACAAAAGGAGGGTTTGTTCACACGAAAAACTGTTTTAACCCCCACCCTATTTTGTACCAATACCAAGTCAGTTATCAAGACCATGTGTTGTTCCTTTTTGTTTGTCTGATTTTTATTGTACGACTTTTTCTCGGAGGAGTCGGTTGTTGGTAGTTGATAGGGACTGTGTTAACTGTCCAATATATTTTGTAAATCCTGTAATAATTTTTATGTTTTATACAATCTTCAATAATAAACAGGTGTCTAGAATATGCCAAACTTTCACGCTCGAAGTCGTCACCAGTACAAATGAAAATAACAAAATATAATTTTGAAGCGTACTTCTGAAAAAATGAATACATAGAACGGATCCAAATATTAAAAGATCTGAAATCAATACACATTTTTTAAAATAACAAAATGTATTTAGATATGACACAAGACAACGTGAGGTTCCTGGCAGCAATATGAATATGAGGCGGCATTAAACTAGTTCTTAAGATCTCTAACCACTTCTGTAATCTTAATTAATGACGAAGAACAGCAATAATCATTATAATTATACTATGACCTGAACAACCTGCACGGAATTCCATTTTAGAAAAATATAAGAAACATATACTCTTGCTTCAAATTACATACTGCACATGTGGAACAGGATCTGCTTACCCTTCCGGATCACCTGAGATCACCCCTATTGTGCTTTTAAAAGAAGTTCGTGTTTGCTCTTGAATTAGTTTTAAATGTTGTTCTTTGTGCATTTTAATTTTTCAATGTCTGTGTTGTTTTAACCGGTAAAAGTCTTGTCTATAATTCTTTGTCATGAAAAATGTTTCAATTTCAAAATTTCACATTCGGTCAAGTTTCAGAGTTAGAAAATTTACATGACCGATGCTTTATAAAAAAAATGGTGATGTCTTAGTGTTAGATAAGAGTCAAATAACAATCCTCTGTTGCGTAACACGACGGGTGTCACATGTGGAGAAGGATCTGCTAACCCTACCGGATCACCTGAGATCACCATCAGTCTATAGTTTTCTATGTTGTGTTTTGAAAGCTGTTATTTGTGTTTTGATCATTTTTTTTTTTTTGCCATGGTGTTGTCAATTCGTTTTAGTTATCTGATGAGTTTAGCCCTTTTCAACTGATTTTTATAGTTTGTTCATATGTTGTACTGTGTTAAGCGCCCGCTAACATGTTTAACCCTGCCACATTCTGTATGTGCCTGTCCCAAGTCAGGAGCCTGTAATTCAGTGGTTGTCGTTTGTTGCTGTATATCATATTTGTTGTTCGTTCATTATTTCGTACATAAATCAAGCCGTTAGTGTTCTCGCTTGAATAGTTTTACATTTGTCATTTCGGGTTCTTTTATAGCGGACTATGTGGTATGGGCTTTGCTCATTTGTTGAAGGCTGTACGATGACCTATAGTTGTTAATTTATGTGTAATTTGGTCTCTTGTGGAGAGTTGTCTTATTCGCAATCATACCATATCTTCTTATTTTTATAATGTGTTTGAATATCCCTTTGCCTTTGGTATCTTCTGCCTCTCTTTTAGTAAATAACTAGCGAACTAATGTTTTCTAAAATAAAAATATAAGACGTGGTGAATTAACGACAACAGAACTTTAATCTTTCTCGTGTATATTTTTTTTTCTAGATATTTGAAGATCATATTCGTAGACATTAAACATTGATAGTTACAATTAGTATGTCAAAAAATGTCGATTAACATTAGACACATGGAAAGAGCTAGCGCTGGTAATATTCAATTTTGGTGGCAGAGGGCGATGTAAGTGCAAATGTCTGCTTCCGTTTTAGTTTGTGCATGTGTGCAAATAAAAACTCTCACAAAATAATCGTTACAACAGAGTTCCCATGCTTAAGATATCAATGATTTGGGTTTTATTACGGTCAAATCATTTTCTTCGTCGTCATGTATAATCATGATTATCAAGTTCAGTTGAAGATATATACAGTAAACTTGATTGGGTCAGTGTGAACAATCAATGCATATTCCGGATGAATGAAAACATAGCAAATTGTACAGTAGCATGTTCCATATTCTAGAGTACAGCTACATATGTGCAAAACACAAGAGTCAGCTCAGTAACCAGCTCTTCGGTACATGTAATGGCAATACTTATAACAGTCTTTACTTAAATTCTGCGTTGATAGAAATTGTTAAAAAAAGCTAAGGTTATAATCTCGAGATAAACTGACATGGCAAAACAACGGAAGACAACGAAAAGACAATTAAGTTCATAAAACACTACAAAGAAAACTGACGACTGAGCAAGAAGGACCCAACCAAAAACTTGCAGTGGACTCATATACTTCAGAAGGGTTATTAGATCCTACTTCACATGTAGCACCCGCCGTGTTGGTCATGGTCAGTACGAATTCGGTAAAGGGTCTTATTCGGTGGTTTTTAAACTGAGGAAAAGATTGAGGGATTCTGGTTCCGATCATTTGCAACATATTAGCGGCTATCTGTGATACAGATATGCCATTACGGTCAACAAACTCGTGATTGAGTCAGTAGTACATACAATAGGATGACTTCAATTTTATCACTTGGAACACTTGATTAAATAAATTCATTGTAAGCAGCAACCTTCTATCAAGGAAATCACGATAGGAAACGTTCTGGAATAACGTATCAACTGGTAGGTACATACTCTATACAAGTATGCAGGCGCTGCTGAAATGTTGCTTAATAGAAATGAAAAATTCACCATTGGAAAACTGAAATTGTCAAGTATTGTACTCAAATTGTCAATATCTAGATTTCAAGATTTGATGCAGACTTACATTTGCAACTGTATATGTGGTATCCTTTATTTCAAGTTCGATGGAAGAGCTGTGTTCAACATAGTCACCACACTTATTCAGTGAGATAATATCGTCGTCTATAAAGCGGAACGCGAAGTTAAAGGATTATGCTAGTTTCTTACTGAAATCACCTGTATTAAATCTGCATCGTGTGAATAAAGGAGCAAGTTGGCATGAAAAGAAAGGAACGATTTCTCCTGAATTTATCTCACATTCGGGCAATTTTCAAAAAGTCTTCCATTTTACCAAAATTATAGTATCATATCTTATTGATTTATACTTAAGGGTTGTTTGTACTTAACAACAGTAGTCAAAAGTTGCCCGGGAATGGAATTTTGTCTATAGAAAATGGGTATATTACAGGAGTGATTTACCGTTTGCAAAAACATTTAAGTAATAGAAAATATATATATAAAATCAATCCAAAATTATTACATCAGTTTTTTTTTAGATATCAACCCTCTCCGTCTTAATATCGATCAGTAGATTAACAAACTTACATAAAACACATTCACCACAAACCACCCAGTATAAGAACAACACTTAACTCGGAAAATAACCGTTACGGTATAATAGATAACAAAACCACAAAAATACTCAAAGTTCTTAACCTGTCGTCCTACACTTATTACCAGTAAAAACAGAATAGGAAACATGCATCAACTTAAGACAAACGAATTGATAGTTCTCCTCCAAAAATAAATATGAGACGAATTGATTTATTAACCACATGATCCTTTATCAATAAATCAATTAGCCTTGGAGACAGATTTGAAATACATTTCCAAAACTTGTAACTTTTATAAACAAAGTTACTGAAAAAAAGCTGAATTTTGGAACATCTGGTGACAGAACAGTATTTTTAACTTAAGAATCTTAAGATACATGTGACGAAGCATTTCGAAAAGTTACTGACCATTTAAATTGTTCAAATAACAGTTTTCACTATGATATGGATGAAAAGATCGATTACAGTAGAAAATGATGAAACTTAGATAAAGAAATCGAAATTTTAACCGATATAAATATAAGGGGTATTTCACATTTTTTACATGATGTACAGAATTCAAAAGGCATATAACGTTTCATGTGAAGCTTAAAATCGCAGTTATCTAGATCAGTTGCCAACTAAGGCTTACGAGTCATGATCTGTCCGGTTTTGTTCGAGTTGTCTCTCTTAGATTGGTTGCCTTGCTGGGCTAATGACTCCTATCTAGCCAACGCGTTTTGAAGAAAAAAACGGACTTTGCCACTGAAGATTTAACCTATAAAATCTACAATGAATTCTTATATTTACAGTAAATGTAAAACAATCTAGAAGCTATATTCTAAGATTATGTTACATGTAAATACTCTAAATATGGATATAATTTCTGCAGATGTACGTACTTTTTATCATGTATGTCATGTATACGAATGGTTGGCGTAACACGTGCTACAGAATCCGTTTTATACGATACGAAAATTTGTAACATCACCGAGTGGCATATGCACTTGCTAACATTTTTTAATAATCCACATATTTTATAAAATGAATATATTTAATCATACATGTATTCTTCATCATATATATGATGGCCGACTGCTTAGGTATACAGTTATCTGTCAGAACCATCAATTCAATATTCGAAGTTACATGTATCTTTTTTAATCATTGATATACAATATAGCGATCCTCTGAAACCGTTTAAGGGTATTTTATTAATCAAAATTGAAATGTTTTCATAAAAAGCAAACAAAACAAACACAAAATACGCGTGACCGATAGTATCCTGAAAAAAGATAAGAGTCTTAAATGTAT